TCCGTGAAAAGTTCATTGTGTTGATATAGTGGACGACAGTCAATTGAATGGAGATGGACAATAGCAGGGCAGTCAAGCCAAGCCACTGATTGTGCATAGGCACACTGCGTGAAGCAGTTCACCGTATAGAAGCCATAAGCATCACACACCAAGCAGATTTTCAGGTCAAAATCACTGCAAACCAGGTCTAGAAATCGAGCCCGGAATGATCAGGAAGAGGCACTGGACGTCAATTTCCCCTTAGTTAATCGAAGTAGGCCCGTAGCTGCTGGATAAACGAATATAGAGCAATATATAGCGGAGAGACAGTGCTGCCAGACTGGTGCTCTGTCAACTATAACAACAAAAAAGGAAGGGAAAAAAAGACAAAAAAGAAAAGAAAAAAGGCGCGAAGACATAGTGGTGTAAATTTAATGGGTTTGGGGGGGGGCAAAATGTCCCTGCCCCCTCTAAAACTGATAAATCGAGAATGTGTTGAGAAATACAGGCATTTTTTGGCAACATTTTTTTTGCCCCCCCTCTAGAAAAAAGCCTGGCGACGCCCATGCGTGGCGTCATATAGTGAACACTTTTTTTCACTTGTGCTTAAATTGTTTTCCCCTCATCTTCCAAACCATGTTGGCCTAGTAATTTGTTACGAGCCTTTCACAACCATAAAGGGATAAAACTGGTCTCACACTTTTTGAGGAGGTCATGATGAACTACTTGTGCCTTAGCCCTCCTATCCTGTACTTTATACAAGATAGGGGACAATACGTGTGTGACTAGCAAGGGCCACTTCCAAACTGCCTGTAGTTTTGAGAAAGGCCAACTTTCGGGGCTTTATTCAGTTTGTAAATGATATCCCCTTCCTCGAATGATGTTTTATTTTCTCGATAGTCATAGTACTTCTTTTGTTGGTTTGTGCTACCCCAATATTGTCACGTGCTATTGTGTGGACCCGCACCATTCTCTCTTTAACCCTAAAGGGGCCGGGTTATTTTGACCATCTCTCAGCCGGGGGGGGGGCGGATTCCGCCCCCCCCTAAGATCTCGGCCATCGAGTGACGAAAATTTTGAAACTCAGCACATGCATAGAGCAACTCTTCCTAAACATGCCCAAGAAATTTCATGACTATAGGTCAAAGGGTTTTGGAATTATGGCTAATTAATTATTCATATGTATGAATGGCAATTCTGCTCGGTGTACACACGACGATATGCGACGAAATTCAGTTTTCACGGCGCGTAGCGCCGGAAAATTTTTCGCTACGGGCCAACCCGTGGTCCGATTTTTATGTTTTTGGTATCAAAAGATGCGCAAAGCTCGAGGCTAAAAAGTCATAACAGCTCGGGTCGCGAAAAAAATTTTTTTAGAAGCTATCGCGGAAAATGTTGAGGGGGGGGGCGGATTCCGCCCCCCCCCCCGGCCCCTTTAGGGTTAAGGTTTCTTACATATTGGTGTGGCTGCTCGTTAGGGACATCATTTCCTTTGAAATCAAACACTAGATCCATAGGTTGCCGGATTTCCCTCCCAGCATCATTAAATTAGGGGTCAGAACAGTACTACGGTTGGAAGAGAACGAATAGTCCCCGTGAGAATAGGTAGATCCTCATCCCATTCGGTTACCTTCCCCTTTAAATGGCATCTGATAAGTTGTAATAGAGTCCTATTGTACCTTTCCACCTGACGTTTGAGCAGGGACGATATGGAGTTGTTCGTGTTTTAGCAATCTCCAAAACTCACAAACTTCTGTAAACAATGAGCTTGTGAAATTAGTGCCTTGGTCAGTATGGATTTGTAAGGGGCATCCGAACCTCGATATGAAATTATCTATTGTTGCCCTAGCAACACGTTTCGCGGTTTGGTCAGCCAAGGGATAGGCTTCAATCCACTTAGTAAATTGGCAGATTAGCATCAATATGTATTTATTGCCCGACCTAGATGGGGTAAAGGGACCTAGTATATCCAGGTGTGTGCGTTCAACTGGTGCCCCAGCATGGAAATTTTGTCAAAGGTGCCCTACGCTTGCGTGATGGTTTTTTGTGTGTGTTACATTCTTGGCAGGCTTTTACATACAGACAAACATCTTCCTTCATGTTATACCAGAAGGATGTCTGCCTTACTTTCTGGAGGGTTCTTGTTATGCCTGGGTGCCCAGCAATTTTACAGTCATGACACAAATTTAAAAATTTCACGTTTCAGAGTGTGGGGGGTCAGGAACAGCAGTTTGGTAGAGTGTCCCTCATCCCATTTGTAATAAAGAACACTGTCTTTAACACACAAAAGTGAGGCATTCGACCAAAAATACTTCACGCTTGGTGAGCAACTTTGAAGTTCATTTTGCTGTGGGCAAATTGAATTTTCTTTCCATTTTAGTAATTTCCCTATGTCCTGATCTTTATGCTGTAGCTCGCGTAATTGCTGTGTTGAGTATTTAGTAAACAACGAGACGTTTTCGTCAACCAACAGACATCAGTTTGAGTCAGTCTTCTCATTTACACATGAATTTTTAGTGACAGCGTTAGCGACGTGGCCGATCGGTCTTTGGGGGCTAGTTGCTGGAGTTACATTAGCGTTGATATTTGAGATTTCTCGCACTGCAAGAGAAATGACATCATCGACGTCATCTTCAAATCGTTTTCACTGTTTATGAACACGCGTACAGTATTGACAACCACCACAGGGGAGGGTGTCTACGTTACAACCCGCATAATAACAGTCGCAGAATGGAGTTGTGTTTGGGATACGTGAAAGAGAGTTGGGGTCAATGTGTTTGACCCCTTTTCTGTGAAGTATTATCATGTCATACTGGCTTAGTTCCTCTACCCATCTTGCTAACATACCAGAAATCAGCTTAAATCTTGTTAACCAAGCCAAACTGCTGTGGTCCGTTCTTATGTAAAATTGGCGCCCCAGCAAGTAATGGCGGAATTGGCGTGTAAAACGTACTACTGCAGGTAGTTCTTTTCTAGTTGTGCAATACTTTCTTTGCGCCGGGGTAAGTACGTAACTACCATAGCCTATCACCTTCTCAACACCGTCTTGCATTTGAAGCAGTTCTGCTCCAATTGCAGCATCTGAGGCATCAGTATCTAACACAAAAACGTCATTACTATCATTTCTTGGGAATGCTAGCAGAGGGCTAGTAGTGAGCTTGTGTTTTAATGCTTGAAAAGATGTCTCGTGTTCATCTGTCCAAACAAATTGTACATTTGTCTTGGTAAGTTCGTATAAGGGACAAGCTAGTTTGGCAAAGTCTTTTACATGGGCCCTATGGTAGTTCATAAAGCCAAGGAACCTCTCTATTTCCTTGCTAGACACCTGTCTGGGCCAATCTTGTACAGCGGATACACTATCTGAGTTAGGCGATATACCATCCCTACTGACTAGCTTTCCTAGAAAAATTACTTACGTTTGGAGTAGATGGCACTTTTTTGATGTCAACTTGAGATTGTGTATGCGGAATTTCTCTAAAACTGTCACCAAATTTTGAATTGAGTTCTCAAAACTTGTTCCCAAAATAATAATGTCATCTAGGTATGCTAGAACTTCAGTCTACTCTAATCCCCTGAGTATTAGGGTCATTGCCCTTTGGAAGGTAGCTGGTGCGTTACATAACCCGAAGGGCATACGTACATATTCGAAAAGACCATACTTGGTAATAAAAGCCGTTTTGCTCCTATCTTCCTCAGACAGTTCAATCTGGTAATAGCCACTACTCATGTCTAGTAAGCTGAAAAACATTGTCCCCTCTAATACATCTAGACACTCTTCTATGTTTGGTAAAGGGAAAGCATCTTTTTTGGTCACGTTATTCAGGGCCCTATAATCGATACAATATCGAACTTTACCGTCTTTCTTTCTGACTAAAACGGCCCATGCTGATGAAGAGGGTTGTATAACAACTATTTTAAGCAAATCATCTAAATGTGTTCTTTCTTCTTTTTCAAAACCAAGTGGGGTTCTTTTTCAAAACCAACTTCGGTTCTACCGGTATGTATCAGGTGCTTTATGGCTGAGAATTCCCTAGGGAGAATGTCATTTTGTCATTTTGGGAGAATACGTCTGCATACTCCGTACAAGGGCGGATCCAGAACACAATTGGGGAGGGGGCAAAAAAAAATTTTGGTCCCCCCAAAAAGTGGGTCAACAAAATTTCGGCGTGGGGTTCGGGCCCGCTTAAGGGCCCCGAAATTTTTTGGATTCTAGATGCTCTGTGGTGCGATCTGAGGCAATTTCTGACCACTTTAACCAATGTTTTTTGAAAAAAAGATGGTGGTGTACTCATTGCCTGCCTTTATTGCGATGTCACATAAAAAAAAAAAAATGGTTTCGTTTGGGGGGGGGGGGGCCATGGCCCCCTCCCTGGATCCGCCCTTGACTCCGTAAGTGTCTTTGCTAAAACTTCAGATTCTTCAGAGGTTAGGTTTGTATTTGAACATTTCCACAATTCTTCGACATGCTCTGGAATGGCATTGACCTGTCTAATAGCATTCTCATTATACGCAGCCAATGAACATCAGTCGGGTACATGAGTAGGTGTAGGTGTTTCCGATTCTACCATATATCTGTCACTTCCTCTGCTCTACCAATAAAATGACCCCTTTCTAATCGAATATACTGGTTACTGTCATTTCGTAAGGAGATGGGACACTCCAGTGATAAGTTATGGGTGTTGTTCCCTAAAGTAATAACGTATACGGGATAAGAAGGCCTCTGTGGTCTTTTTCTGGTGTATGAATGATATAGGATTTGTCAGAATTCTCATCAAACTGACCAGTTGTCTGAATGATTGAATTTGGGGGCACTACTGTTTTACAAATTTCACGAGAACAAAGCCTGTTTCGGCCGGTTGCCGAAACAGCCAATTAATATATATGAATCTAGCTCTAATAGTTGGGGAAATGGTATTATGTGTTTAAATCTCTGTGTCTCCTAGGGGCTGGATCAAATTCAGATTTTTTGCAAATCTGACATTTCAAACAACAGTTTAACATGAAACCAATCAGGCGTTTACCTGGACTTGACGTCATGACAAGCTTCTCCATTGCATTTGCCTCAAACAATGATAATCCTACAGGAAAGGTGAAAAGCTGAAAAATACAAAAATATACCAAACATCAAAATTTGATTTTACCCATGTACGTGTATCCAGCAGAATGACATTTCACCGCCTCAAAAAAAGGAAGCAGGTGGGCCATTGTTTTTTTAGGTGGTTTTCACGGAATAGACGGAGCAACAGCAACACATTAATCGGTTCTTAAATCAATATTGAAAATAATAAAAACGGTTAGATGGTTTTAGCTGAAACAAAATAATTGCAGTGCTATGCTGCCACTCAAAGCTTCAAAATAGGAGAATATACATTAATTTTCTCTTCTTAAAAAAGTTTGCAAAAAGAAGGAGGGTCCTTCAATTTGATGAGACTTTTGACATGTTATAGACAATAATTGTATAATCGGTCTGTGATGTATAGAGGTGCTCATATAACTGGTTTTGTTAGTTGAAAATAAACGAGCAAACGAAATTGAACAAACTGAAGTCATGTAAATGACATTCTTCTTGTGTAGGTAAAAACTGTGCAGGTAAAAATGTCCTACAATAAAAATAAATAAATGAAAAAAATTAGATTTTATTAAATAAATCACTATTTCTATTTCTTTTGGAGATTACTAAAAGCACCTTGTGCCTGGAATATAAAAAATACCAAAACCGTATTTGCAGTTATTGCTGTCTTTATTTTTATGAGTCATTTTTATTATAAATGTCTAATAAAAAAAACAACAACTTAGTTGATAAAATCAACTTAGGATTGACTTAGTTTTTATTATTTTATAGCACATATTGTAACTCTGAACTGTTTACAATTTTGTGTTCATATATGCTGGAAAGACCAAGAAAAAAATGTCGTTCTTGTAGTCTGGCTCCCTGACCCCACGTCAGATGAAGTGGAGCAATTTATAGACATCGGGAACTGTAAGGTCAGGGAACCAGTCTAGCCGGCTTGTACCCATTTCTAGGTGTGTAGCTGATTGCAAACAAAATAAGGACTAACTAAATTTGGTAGATTGGGGGCAGTATTTGAAAATAAACCAGTTGTTTTTCTAATGATGGACAGTCGACCATCATTGGATATTGTGACAAAATGCCACTCTTCTTGAAAATAACAGCAAACCAGGTGCCATGATTTTACAGGGTGCTAGAAACTATATTATTCACTAACAGTCAAGCAAAGTATTTCATAATTTTGTAGTTTTGTAAACGTTGTATGTTGCCTTTGAGCAGCGTCAAAAAGTAAACTTAGTAGCATTTATCAAATTCTCTTTTCTTTCACTAATTTTTTTTTAATTTCAATGTTAGGAGCAAAACATCAAATCCTTTGATCATTTTTGATACATTTCATTTTAAAAAATTTAATAAAATAATTTCAAAGATTCAAATGTTTATTCTCTTCCCAATATTAACAAAAAATTAGGTTTTTTTAATAACCAGTTTTTAAAATCCACAACACATGTGGAATGTAAACTATAAATATTTGAAAATCTCAATTTTATCTCAGTGCTACAATGTAATTGCCGCCCCTGCTTCTTCTACATGTAGCAAGTACTTACCCATAGTGCATATCATTTTTCCCTTGAGGGCGCTAGCCATCCACTAAAGTTGATTTCCCATAGTTCCTTGTGGCCCGCCCGCCATTTTACACATACTCTTGAATGTAAAAGCATGTAAGACAACACATACCCGAGAGTGGGCATGCGGACGGGCGCTCTATGGGTAGTACTCATTAGTAGAATCACACATCGGGGGGGGGGGGGGGGGGGGGGGGGGGGGTGGATTCTACCATGCTCATCTTACCCGCACAGCCTACTGCATACATATGCAGAGTATCCTATTATAGGAAGGTGGGTTCCAGTGAATGACATGAGAGTAGAAGGTGGAATGCAAGGAAGCGTGAGCTCTAAGCCAACAAGACCAAACCCACCAAAGAAAAACCAGAAAAATTGGTGACTCACTGTAGCGAGGTAGGCCGTCACTGAACGGTCCTACACGGCTTCAGTGAAGGAGGAACCAGATCTGGTTGCTCCACTGGAACAGTAGATAGGGCTGCAAGACCAGTTCTGCTGTCGGCCTGCAAGCACATCTCTGAAGTAGCCTGAGGTGAAGGTGTTGGGAGAGACTTTCATCATGCCGCTTGCATGATGTCTGTGAGAGGCACCCCTTTGAAGACGGCCCAAGAGGTCGACACACTGCAAACCCAAAATAACCAGGGTGAACGGCCATAGTTATGGAGCAGTAGTTCTTGGTAGTACATGCAAACAATAAGAACAGACTAGAAGAGGTGGAGAAGAAAGTCGCCAACTTCGATTACAGTTTCAGTGAAGGGATCCATCGAAAGCCATGATCACCATTTATAGAAATGTCACTTTTTTAAACAGTGTGGGTTATTGGCGCTAGCTACGGGCTGCGATGGCAGCAGCCTATTGAGCAAGTCCAGCATATTGGAAGGAACGCTAGACAATGGCCAGCACATCACATGAAGACTCTGGGTGAAGCAGACCCGACCAAGACTTTCAAAGAAGGTCTGGCCAATGTGGGGGGAGTGTACTGATCTTCTTTTGCTAAAAAATTGACATGCAGACTGTCCAACAGTGAGAGTGACTGAGGTTGGAAGGGTCCAGTCTATGGGGCAAACCCAGCCATGGGAGAGTGCATGGGCAGTGGTGTTGTCTGTACTCGCCAGATGGACTTAAATGCAAGTTGGTCAACTTGTACGCCTGCAAACTTGTATGCCTGCCAAATCATACATGTGCCAACTCATACCGAATGCCACCTTGTCACACATTATTCTTCTCGGGTCACTACACTACACCCATCCAGGTGCAGGACGCAGGATCTAGCCCGGGGTTGAACCCTTCCACATCTCCAGCAGTGGCGACTTTGGGCGGCTTTAGCCCCACCCCCAAATCTTGTCTAGCCACCCCCCCCCCCCAAAAAAAATCTATTAAAAAAAATTGCACTAGACTGTAAGAATGTGACATACATGCGAACAGTCTCCAAACAGTCGTGAGAAGGGTGCATTTGTACACTTTTAGTCAATATAGTGTGCCTAATTGTAGGATATTATCAGCGCTCCCCATAGAAAATATGGCACGAGCCCCCCCCCCCCCCCATTGATTTTTGGAGGCTTAAGTGTCCAGAGAATATAACTGGTCTACATTTCAGCACGCCTCCCTAAAAAAACCTGGATTAACCCTGCTAGGGCCCCCCCCCCCCCCCCCAAATATTGGCTCTAGAAACCGGGCCTGATCTTCAGGAGTACAGGGTTCTGGCAGGTGGGGGCAGACCAGCAGGTGTCCCATTGTATGTTCCTCCCCACAGTCGCACACTGTTTGTCCGTCCTCATTGTATCCCCATTTCTCCCCATCGTCCAGTTCCTGTCCTGAGGCGATATAGACATACCAGATGGGCCATGCCTTGCTCGAACCTGACGGTAGAGATTCCTTGGGGCTGAAGGAAAGCTTGTGTGGCATTGCCTGAAGATGATTGGACCATCATTTAGTGGCCAGTTACATGTATTTTTGGAATTCAAAAAAAAAAGAGCATATTGTCGGGTGCCTGGAAGAAAGTTGTAAGGGCAAAAAATGGGTAAAAAGGTCAGATTCAGGTTTTTGGGAAGATTGATAGAGCATGGAAATATTGTCTCAAGGGGTAACATCAATCCGACGTGAGTAACAGTAAACAGAAGATGGAAGGTGGTTTTCATTATTTGCGCCTGGCAAAAGGTCGTAAGCTTGAAATTGTAATGTAACAAAAAATGGTCCAAGTAATAGGTACACAAAGCCAAGTTTGTTACAAATGTGGGAGAGGGATGCAGTCCAGACCGGATGACCGGAGTCAGCAGCAAGTTTGTCATGCGCAACATCTGTGACAGTAGACATGGTGAGATACTAGGTTGTCTTGTCTGAAAGAAGGTGAAGTTGAGACACAGGCGACAAGGACGATGACAATGGATCTATCAAACACTAAAAAGATCTGCTGAGAACAAACCCTATCAAAGGGAACCACTATGGTGGTATCAGGGGGTGGCCAGTGAGTCCAAAGCCGCTAGGCACTTGAACGATCTCAGCTCTTTAGTAGGTATCAGGGTCTCTGATTCAGGGAACCCCAGCACATGTGGTGCAAGATATCAGACCTACCGGGGGTATCCACCGTTTCTTCTTTTTTTTCTGAGGGGTAGAGTCTGCATTAGATTTTGGAGGAGACCTGGAAGCAGCCGGGAACAGAGGTAACAGAGCCACTAAGAGAGACCAAGGGCTGAGGGAAACAAAGTTGAATCATCGTCTGCGCAGGTGGGACCAGGATACAGGTACCTGGGCCACTGCAGTTGGAGATTGTGGATGTAACCGACAAGGCCGGTGGAGGTGTGGGAGGTGTGGCAGACTGGGTGGTACCTGGGTGAACCTTTGAGGTGTTCCTAGGCTTAGGTGATGCCCAGGATTTCTTCTTTGATTGACCGGAGGACTGTGTAAGGAACTGGATGACATGACTTAAAACTGGGCGAGAACGGCCAGTAGGATAATGGTAAAATAGATCGGGCCACCATGCAGTAGAGAGACGGATGGAACAATAGTGGAGCAGCCGGTGAAATAGTGGAACAGCAGTAGAAAAAGTTGGGTAAAGCGATAGGCTAACAGACGAGGTAGCACTCTTATGCTGGGGGAATTTGCCTCAAGCACCACACCATGTAACATTGAAATAGTGATAAAACCCATGACATACCAAAGTTCATTTCTATGGCCAAGTCACCTGATATTCAGTGCAGGTGAGAGATTTGCTATTTTGTTGGTGGAGTCTCATGCTGATGGGTCGGTCACTGTAGATCGCGTTAAATTGGTACAGCATGTGCTGCTATACAAATATGGAATGCTTCAAGTGGAGTAGTAAAACTAGCCTCCCGAGGTGATCCAAGGACATTCTATTTTTCCGTGGCGAAGCCGAAGGAAAATAGAATGCTCCATGGATCACTGAGGGAGGCTAGTTTTACTTCGCCATAAGAAGTGTTTTATAACACTTCACCACAGATTCTGCTTGAATTTAATATTTTAAACTATTTAAATCTGAACACGATTAAAAATGTATTTCTTTCTTCCAAACCACCCCTTTACAAAATGTTTGACCCCAACTCTGTGGCGCACTCTCTTGGGAACAAAATGTGCTACGCATAATGCTCAACACACACACCGGCATGCATTTGTACACAAACATTGTGCCATGGTTAAAGTACTTTGGTTGCTAATGGTATAGAACTTTGGTTGTGAGAGGTATACATGTAGTACTTTTGGCCGTGCACTGAAAGATAGCATAAATAGAAAGTACCATGTGACTCGCTTTCGGCCAATCAAAACACAGAATCAGTGAGTGAGGTGTCATAACACTTGCTATCTGAGCAGAAGTCACACACCAAACTGGCCAGGTAAATAGTAGCATAGGGAGTGAGTAACTTGCAGTGTGTGCAATATTTCTCTCTGTACACTTCGGCGTGAGCTACTTGCAGCCTGTGCGAAGACTCGCAGTAACGGCCAGGTAAGGTGTAGCGTGGGTGTGAGCAACTTGCAGTCAATGTGAAGTCAGGCATTGTTTGGTTCAGCGCGAGCCACTTGCTACTCGAGCGAAGTCAATAGTTAAAGTAACCTCACTCAGCTGGGGCTGTAAATACAGACAACAGACCAAATTTTCACCAAAATCCACCTAATTGTAGAAAACAACACATTGAGGGAGAAATAAATATGACACCATGAATTTATCAAAGGAATGGTTGGAGAAATACGTCAAAGTGATCGGAAGGGATGAGCTCAGGAAAACGTTTTTCCTGTACCACACTAGGAGATTGTTGGAAATAAATCTTAGCGAATCGCTAGCGCTCTCAACGGGATGATGTACTGGTAGTAATGCTCTGAGGGTAAGAGTAAACACAGTAGAATCAGTAATTCACAGCAGTTCATATTCCAAAATAATCTTGAAAATCTGGCCTTGTATTGCACATGCATACATGTACCAGCAACTTAAATCGTGTAGCAGTAACTTAAATCATGTATTTTTAAGACTCATAGTTTATGTTGAGACTTATGGCTGCAAGTTTCTAAACAAGTCAGCTTATAAATCATACATGTTATTGTATCATACCTTGCCAATATCGGCATTGCAGAAGATGTCTTCTCCTGGGTGCAGAGTGGCAATGCTTTCATTCTGCAATGCATACTGTGGTAACAATCATAAATTCATAAAACAACCAAGAAAATTCCAATGGATTCTTTGCAACTACCCGCTCAATGGTAACAGAAGGAGAGCTAGGGACTCGTAAACGCATTGAACACAGCACCTGACACTCATGCAAACACTTACAGGTTTAAAGGGAGGGTAGATCATTTGTCATTTATAGTGCATTTCTTTTTGAAGCAACAAAAGTCAAAATTTAAAGATGCATGCTTCACAACTAACCTGATGATGAAGTTTAAGGTCTGTGAATGCTGTTTATTCCGAGAAAACAACATTCTAGGATCTCTGCTTCAATTAAAATTTCATATTATCATTATTAGCCTATATTTCAATTCATATTTTGAATTGCGCCTGAAATCAGCATCCAGAACACGTCCTCATTCAGCTGATGGCAGCTACCGTACATGATATCACGCACTGAACTGACAGAAAATAGCAAACGCATGCCTCGTGCTAATGCTTGCATGCACCAATTCATGGATTTGCCACATTACAAACCAACTACCAATGGACATTTAAAAAAAAAATTGTCACTCCACGCATCTTTGGAAATTAATGGCCTTCTTTTGTTTTCTTCGAAATGACAGCATGCCAGAAAGAATAATTTCACAGTGAGTTCAGTGCTATCTTTAACCCTCCTGCTATTTAAACAGTCACAGACAGTCAAAATTCACTTCCACTTCCCCAGCTTTACCATATTTTTAACAAAAGCTAGTCACCAGAAGTCAAATCATATGTCAAACAGCACTGTAATTATTGGGGGCAACAGACAAAGCAGGCAAGTTGTGGTCACAGCTGTTTTATCACTCACCCAGAGTCAAAGTATACCGGTAGCTGTATCAATTTACTTTAAACAGTCCCATCCAGTCAATCCTGCTTTATGTAAGGCTGAGAATTCTTAACTGTTGAAAACAGTCACTTACTTTGAATTTGACTGAAAGGACTACTTGGCACAGAATGTATGTTTGCATAGGAGGGTTAAACCAAGTAAGCTTTTCAACCAAAATTTCATCAGTTACTTTTTGAATATCTGCAAATGATCCACCTCTACTCTACCTTTAAGCAGTTCAGATTAGTTTTGTGTACATGCAAAATACACACCCAAACCTGGGTGTGTACACAGTGTGTCCCTTTAATTGGGGCTCTCAAAGGTGGTCACAAAGCACCATCTATTGCTAATACATGCAGTCCAACACACTTAGTAAGTTACATAGCAACTACCTGTTAATGCTTAAAGCTCAGTGAGTCACTTCAGTGACTACTGCTAAAGCACCCTCAATGCATGTTTTCTTTTCAACAATAATATTTCAGGCGGAATTATAGGTACCGTATTCAGTACCAGTCCTATCTTAATTTTGTGCAAGGTTTTCTCATAAAATTAATGATATGTTTTTAATATAAATATTTTAATAAGAAAATAATAACATGGTTTTTACTTACTTGTTGCAATGTCTTTTCATGTTCTGGTAACAATGGAACATTTTCTAAATTTCTTGATTCCAGTGCTGTTGATTCACCACCAAATTCTCTGCCCTGTCCTTGATTTGGTTTGAAGTCTCTGTCTTCTTCTTCTCGTTCATCATCTTCTGCCATTTTGGTTATTCCACCTTCAACAATGCCATGACGCAGTGATTCATGAAGATTAGTGAGCTGTGTATCTTTATGGTCCTAGTAATAATATAAAAAAACACACTTTAATTCCAGTTGAACAATTTGTTCATTCTGATGTGCAACTTCACTAAACAGTATATATCCATTAAATAAAAGATACCTTTTTGAGACTTTAATCACGAAACTCGTATCAGGAGCTTGCGACACCATCAATGTGTCTTTGCCAACTGGTGTTGATGAGGCCCTCACGTGACCCATCACGTGACCAAGCTTGGTCGCACAACAGGAGGCGGTCGTACACGTGGGCCAGCTCGTACCCTCCATCTCTATTCATATGGGGGTGGTGTCTGCGGATTTCCACGGCCTCGCTGATTTTGCGTTTCCAGAGGTCGTCCTCCCTGGCGATGATCTTGACATTGTCCACGGAGATGCCATGTCCTGGGGTGGATATATGTTCACCAACTGCTGTCAGGTGGGCTGACCTACTGGTGTGTTCTCTGTATCGGGTCTGCAGAGTGCGAGCTGTTTCCCCGGTATATGTGTCTTCACAACCATCACACGACATCTGGTATACGAGGCCACATTTCTTGAGGTCTGGGGTCTTATCTTTCAGGCTGATCAACTGGGAGCGAAGAGTGTTAAACGGTTTGTGTGCTACCGTGACACCGTGTTCACGAAACATACACTCCAGCTGTCAGACAAACCTCGGATGTATGGCAAAATGGCCATAGGCTGTTGCTTCGCATTGGTGATCGCCTTGGAGGCAGCTCCAGTTGTTTGTTTCCTTTTAGGGATCTTGAACGCCCATGGTTGGTACCCGTTGGCAGTGAGAGCGTTTTTTGACGTGGTGAAGTTCAGTCTCGCGGTCCTCCTCTTCTGTGATGACTTGGTCGATCCGATGGCAAAGAGTGCGAGCCACGGACCTCTTGTGTGCTAGATGGTGATTGGACCCAAAATTCAAATAATGATCGGTGTGAGTCGGCTTCCTGTAGATGGTTACTTTGGTGGATCCATCACTTTTGATGTGAACGCAGGTGTCTAGGAATGGAAGTTTGGAATCTGTCTCTGGTTCCATAGTAAACCTGATGTTGGAATCGAAGCTGTTGATGTGTTGAGTGAAATTTTGAATGGCTAACTCCTGTATCTCCACAAAGGTATCGTCCACATAGCGGTTCCATCGGTTTGGAGGGGTAGGAGCAGTAGACAATGCTCTACATTCAAAATCCTCCATGTAAAGGTTGGCAACCAGTAAGGATACAGGGGAACCCATTGCAGTCCCATGAGTTTGTACGACCGCCTCCTGTCGTGCGACCAAGCTTGGTTACATGACGGGTCACGTGAGGGCCTCAACAACACCAGTTGACAAAAACACCGTGATGGTGTCGCAAGCTCCTGATACGAGTTTCGTGATTAAAGTCTCAAAAAAGTATCTTTTATTTAATTGATATAATAATGGGACAGGAAACGAACTTTCATGCTCGAGTATATATCCAGCACAGATGAGGGTTAGCACAATGTTGGGCATGAAATCCTATAAAAAAATGTCACGGACAAAGATTCTAGTTCTACTTAAGAAAAAGGTTTGTAAGGCTCCAAAGTGCATGGAGTGGGGTTCGGTACTAATGCATGATGGCGGAACACAAGCATGATAATCCAAAGGGATACATAGATCTGCAGAGCATTAATTGAGGATTATGACAGAGAATATGGATATAAATGTAACAGCACCTACATGTACATGTGGGTCTTTCCGAGATATCATATACAAAGCGGTTTGGCAACACTGCATGAGGAAATTTGAGAGAAACTTTGAAGTGCAACACATTGAGGGACTCTACTATATGCACATATACTATATGCATGTATAAAGTCTACGTCCTCCTGGCGGGGACGTAGACTTTATATAGTGGAATCCTAATTCCAGTCATCAAAAGTAGTCATTGCCAGTACAATGTACAGTTTAAGTATTTTTAACATCCAGTTATATGATGAGTCACGTACAAATACAATCCATAGCAAGAAGTCTGCTAATTCACCAAACAAGTCTCGCTGGTAACGGACTTTCTGTCTCCGTGCGATAACAGACCCCCCCCCCCCCCAACACAACAGTGATTCGGTCCCGGGGATTCCCCCTGTGAGAAATGATGGAGAACTCGCTCTCAAATTCTCAATGACATTTATTTTAGTATAAAAAGTACCCTCCATAGTATACCAGTTTGTAGAGAAACTGATTCTGCAAAATCACGGCAAAACTTTAGAAGTACACCTATAACAAAAACCACGCTTGTAATTCTAAAGACATACATCGATCCTTGAGGCACATGATTATAGAGAAGCTAACAATTGCGAGCAAAGTGGAATTTTCTGGATGTCCTGGGTGTCCCAGAGCTCTTGAGTGTGCCCAAAGAGGTGCACGTATACTTTGAACTATTGGAGGTTTAATCAAATTAAGTCAGGCATACATTTTGTCATAAAATAATCATACCTTTTAGCCATTAACTTTTGGAATTTCATTTTGCAGTGGTTACTTGATTGAATTAAATTTAAAAAGAAATTGTGTGGTAAATCTGCACCTCATGGTATAAAGGTCTACTGGAAAATGTATTCTCAGCTGTGCAATGGGGTCTTGGATTGACTTTAAAATGTGACAGCTCTTTCAAAAACGAAAGCTGTTGCACATCTATACATAGACAAATGCTCATGCACATGTTTGTTCAACAAAGGCTCCCGGGTGTTGGCTCCCACACCGCCAGATCCACTGCGGGAAATTGTGGAATCGGTTGTGGGCAGGGTTGTGACTTTCAGGTCATAGTTTTCTCCTGCGGAGTAAAAAATGCAGGTCGCTGACATAACAAATTTCCAATTCACTTCGGCAGAGTTCAGATGCAGTCCGTATACCGGTACCTTAACAACAACACAGCCCACTGGCATTCCCTTGGGAATTCACCTGGAAATACATAATTTAACGAGTCTATTTTAAACAGTGATAAGAAGTATCCGCTCACTCTTTAAAATTCACTATTGTCTTAGCGTAAAGAGGCAAAATTATTCCCATTATCCATGGAGTAAATTTCATTCGTTGGATGGGAAAAAAACTTTCAACTTGCGCTTTCCTAGGCATGGTGGTTGCCTAGTTTATTGTACCACAGGTAAAATACACATATTGCACACAGACTAGACGTGCAGGTTGCCCAAGTAGTATTAAATACAAGTATGTTTATTTAGTTGTCGCGATTGGTAACCGACACTCAAGGCGTGTATTTAAGACAAGATGAATCTTCCACCCATTTGCACGACCCACTGACTTGTATACTTTTAGTCAATACACTGGTCCCCATGCATATGGTGCTCTGATAGACGTACATGCATACACAATACACGGTACATTAGTAGGGGGAGGGGCGGGTACCAGACTTTACCCTTCCAATATATCTCCCTCTCTCCCAATATATCTTTCCTCTCTCCCAATATATCTCCTCTCCCAATATATCTCTCTCCCAATATGTATCTCCTCTCTCTGTCTCGGCCCCAGACCAAAACCGGGCCCAATAGACCATTCAATTATGCGCGTTTTCGGCAGCACTGTATGTTTGTCACAAGGTGGCGCTCTTCAAATCCGCCATTGCTGGGACGCATTTTTGTCAAATTTTGTGCACAGATGCATTGGCGAAAGTAAATTTTTGAGGTATTTCCGTTTATAATTAAGCTCATTTCCAGATTTCAAGTAAACCAAATTAAAGGCAAAGAGGAAATGAGTTTGGGAAATTCAGGAACAGTTTGTGCGGTGGTGGGCTGCAAAAATAGCAGCAAAAAGCTGTCTGAGTGGAAAACGTCGGTGTGCGATCTGCACTCTCCAAAATCTCATCGTGAATGTTCCTGTGTGCAACCATGGCAGCTACACAGATTTCCCGCCGGCAGTGACTGTGAGTTGTGGTCCTTCAGCAGCCGTAATAATTGGATTAAAAACAGCCAACTAAAAATAGCATGGCGAGTATGCACACCTTTTAAAATTACCTGATAAACTGACAAGTCAAGTGTAGTTTAACTTTATTACTTATTAGGCCTTATTAATAAAAGACTAGCCAGACAGTGCTCTGGAGTGCTCAGAAACGTGCAAAAACTAAATGAGGCCAACTTTACTCACAGTTTTGCCAGCAAATTTCTCCAAAAATTCCACTGGGGCAAAGAAAATGTCCTCAGTCATTGTCAGTATTTCACCAACCAAGTTTGCAGACTCAATTCAATTTTTAAAGGAGACTTTTCTTCAATATTTTGCACATGAGAGGGAAGTCAAGTGATTTCAAAATTGGGCTAAAGACTAAACTGATACAAGTCCAACCATGGTCCAACTATTTGAAAAGACTAACCTCTTCATTCAGTGTCAATAGTCTGGTGGCTTGACTATGGAGAAATGTGTAGTAAATTGAGACTAGTTCCTGCTTCATGCCACATGTCTCTTAAATTCTTTTTGCATGGTTGATTGATGCAGTACTGAAGCTGTGTTGGACTGATTGTTTTAGGTGCCAGTCTATTTTCTTGTTTTGCATGTTTTCAATACCTAAAGTTTTGGGACTCTCATCAGTACACAGTATTGAAAGTCCCAAATTTTCGGACTAAAGACTATCATGCCTATGCATTGCCAGGTAACGGTAGGTGATGTAGGCTTAATGCCCTGATGGTAATTCTAATCTTAGCCCCAAAAATGTGGCCAATTTAGTATTTACTGGACTACCTCCGTAAAGATAGGCCACACTTGGAAGTTGGAACATGTACCTGAAAATGTAGAACTTTGTCAAGTTTTTGTCATGTTTGTTTTCACATTTAGACTTAAGGCCCTATTGTTTTGTAGCCTATTGATCAGGACATGTTACTTGTTCTATGGTGTATGTCACTGCAGAAAACAATTAACGATGTCTGTGTATGGAATTAATCCAAACTACGTGTATGTGATCTTTAGCCCCTATCACCTGTGGAAAAAGTATTGATTTTTTTTTCAATCTGACAATCTGCATAATGTCTTGTAAGTCGATTTCCAGTTTGGAAGTGTGCTTACACATGTTGTGGTGTACATTCTTTCATATTACAAGGGAAATTGATCCAGAAATGCCTGGATATCTACTTTTCACGTAGGCTATTGAAGAAGTGTGGTTTACTTTTTTTGCAAAATTCCCCCCCCAAAAAAAAAATTTCCAATAAATTGTTTAATAGCCTGCAAAATAAAAAACAGCACTCTCCCTTTTTTGAAGTGTTTGGTGATGAACGGAGGAGGGACAGTAACCTGCAGTGCTGCCCAAAGCCAATATATCTGACCAAATAAATAAGTTTGTTTAGGTTTAGTTTTATATTTATTCATTTTTTTTATTTTTCAGACTTGCTCAATCTACTTTCAGGATGGAAAACCATCAAAGAATATGTCACTAAGGATTTGGAATACTATTATTAGTACCTACCCGCCAACCAAGTTTTAATGACTTTTATGACGATCAGACATTGCCTTATTTGGAGAAAAAAAATCATGTTTTTGATAACATCATGATGACGTCACAAATTTTTCAATTTTTTTTGCATATACATTGTATCTATGGCCTACCAAACCTAATACGAAAAGAATTTTGAATGTAGCATGTTTGTTCAGGAGATATGGAGATGAGATGAAAACAAAATGAAAAATCAATAAAAATCCACATGATGACGTCCTCGTGACTTCACTTCAAATTTCATCTTAAACACATCCTGCTATGTCAACTGTACATACCAAGTTTCATTCAAATCAGCCTTAGTTCTCTAGACATAGGCCCTTGAAAAATGCACTTTTATGATTTACGTGATGACGTCATCATGATTCGCCATGCATTTTCAGATGGTGGTCTTAGTGTGTGCCAGATTTGAAGTCAGTCGGATGTGGAAAAGAATTTTGAATGTAGCATGTTTTGTTCAGGAGATATGGAGATGAGTTGAAGATAAAAGGAAAAATCAATAAAAATCCACATGATGACGTCATCGTGACGTCACTTCAACTTTTATCTGTAACACATCCAGCTATGTCTACCGTACATGCCAAGTTTTATTCAAATCGGCTTTAGTTAAGTTAAGTCTCTAGATATATAGGCCCTTGAACCCTTTTACATGATGACATCATCATGATTCTGCATGCATCTTCAGATGATGGTCTAAGTGTGTGCCAGGTTTGAAGAACAAAAACAAGTCCCTAATGGTAAATGACTCGGCTCGACTTGAGTCACTGCAAGCAAATGACTTAACTCTACTGGA